AAGTACAGGAAGGAGTCGGAAAAGAGAGCAGATGGACAAGGGGAAGGGTCAACCCCACACTCACCATATAACTACCCGGAGCTTTCCCCACCATGGCTATTTCAGCATTCCAAGGTCTTGCGCAACTACGTATCAGCGACATCTCAACAACTGACATATCCCCCGGAAAACAACCCAACTCATCACACGAATAGCGAATCAACTATGCCATATAGGTGATAAACAACTGAGGAACAATCCACTCACCCATTAGGACACCCAGTCATACGCATGACGATACTATCTCTCCCCACACCTGCCTCTTCACAAATCTTCTCAACTTTATCAACCAACAAAGGTAAATATCTCTCACTCTCTGCCATTGCCAAACCACAAGTCGGAAAAGCGACACAAGCACTTGAACTTAATCTTAATTTCGATTGATTCAAATTATCCAAACCCCATTTCTTCAATACTTTCTTGATATTCTCCAATTCTTCAGGAGGTACATCTGAAAGAATAACATGTTGATTAGGTGTTAACCTAAATTGACCTTTATGTATCTTTGCTATTTCCTTCAAACCAGTTTTGAAAGAATCATGTTGATTATTTTCTATTCTACCATTTTCGATGAAAATCGTAAAATGTGATTTCCCATCTTGTCCTTTTGTCCAACCGTAATGATCCAAATTACTATCAAACTCGAATGGTCTTGAAGGTAAAAGAGGTTTCCCAAAACGTTTTTCGACTTCTGTTTTGAAAATGGGTAAAGTCATTCTATCTATCGTATATTTCAATCTTGCGTTTTTACGATCTTGTCGATTTCCATTATCCCTTTGAACGAGTAAGATAGCTTCTGCTATTTTATGTCCATCTTCAGGTAAAACGAATCCTAGTAAATCACCAAGACGAGGGTATGTTTTTTTATTAGAATGTGTCACTCCCATTCCACCACCGGTCAAGACGTTGTATCCTACTATTTTACCGGATTCAACAATGGCGATGAAACCAACATCATTGGTGTATACATCGACGGCATTGTCGGGAGGTATAGCGACAGCCATTTTGAACTTTCTAGGAAGGTAGGTTGGTCCGTACATAGGCTCGAAATCTTGAACAGCTTCACCGGCTATTTGTTTCTTCCCAAGCCAGATTTCGTGATAGGCGGATGTCTTTGGAAGGAGATGTTCTGAAAGACGTTTGGAGAATTCGTAGACTTCAGCGTGGAGGGATGATATGGATGGGTTGACAGTGCATTGGACGTTACGGTCTAGGGTGAGTTGAGCTCTCACACTTCTTCATACCACAAGAGACTCATTGAATGTGTGTCACTCGAATGGCGGTTTCTGTAGCTTGTGCTTGAGACAATGAACAAGCGGGAGGGTATGATCAGAAATGGTGGGAAAAAGAGTACGGATGGATGGACAGGATGAAGAAATGGACCATTCACTCACTAACATCCCCACACGCAGCAATAGTATCCAACAAACTCCTATTTATATCTCTCATAGCTTCCCTCAAATGTCTCTTCACAATTCCATGAAACTGGAATGTCTGTCTCGTAGTAAGTTTGAAAGTCCCATTTCCTCTTTCATCCGCTATCCTATCCATCGCCAACCATTGTTCGGGAGTACAAACACCACCGGGGAGTCGGACACGTATCATGAATGCGTAAGCTGGTTCTAAACCTTGAGCTTTGAGGGATTCTCGGATGTCACGATCGTCCTAGATGTAAGCGACTGTATAACATCCCTTCATCACAGCATCTAATTAAAACGAATGTCTTGACTCGGGGCAGGAAACCAGAACTGACTACACGCAAATGTGTCTGTGTCTACCGCAGCACATAAGGCCGTATAACTATCCTGTTTCCAAGTCTGCATGTGGCCAAGGAGGAAAAACAGATAAAGGAGTGACTATGCAAGAATGAAGAGGTCACACGGGGTGACGATAAGAAGCGAGTTTGACGAGGAAAAGTGGTAAAAGGGGAGATTAGACCAGATAAAGTGGTAAAGGGGGAGAGACGAGAAACACCCAACTGACCTGCTGATACGTCCCATGAAACTTCAACAATTGTCCATCACTAACCCCCATAGCTCCCGTTGTGGTATCTTCCAACCCCTCCATGATAGTCCCTCTGAGATAATCACTAGCAATCTTCATATGTTCATTAGCTACCGTTTCTTCCTTTTCCTCTGCGACTTCCACCGCATCCACTCCTAACGCTCTCCACAAAGACGCTTCGAAAGGTTTATATCCTGTCAAATACCCATCAGGATCAGAATCGTCCCCTAAACCTAGATCCGTCAAAGAAGTAAATCCAAGATTAAGGAGACGAGGATATAAATCTTTAGCTGGTTTATTATAATAACCTGCATCTTCTGGTCTTGGCCAATAATGTGAATCACCCATACCGAAAACTGAAAGTTTGGTTTTGATTTCATTTTCTTTCCCCTCAACGTCGTCCCCTTTACTATCACTGGGTTTGGTTACTGAGCTGGTGGGCGATAGTTTCGAAACCACTTTCCAAAATTCTCTTCCGTTCTGTGGGAATTCTCCTTGACCAGCAGTAGAAGTGATAACCAAAACATTTTCTTCCTCTTTCAACAAATTAATCGGATCTTCTGCCAATTCATCTAATACTTTCAAACTGGCAGCTACACCTCTCATCTTTGCTCTTCCCACTAATCTTTTCGCAACCTTTTCGGCATTACCTCCATCACTGGCATAGAGTACTAACAATCCAGGTCCATCCAATGAATTGACCAATGCCTCATATGCCGCTCTGGCTTTTTGTTTCCGTTTCGAAGTTAACTCTTCACCCACGGACGGAGGTACAGAGGCTTCAAGATCGGGTTGAGTACGTGTGAGTTGAGATAAATGAGATTGACGATCGAGAAATTCAGCGAGGACGTTTTTGATATGTGATGAATCCAACGTGAAGCGTCTTGAGTCGGGTAAGGAAGGATTCCATCGGAATAAAGGCCACCAGCCTCCAGAGACTGCACGCTTGGTTTCTCGTAGACGTTCCAATGGACCAAGTGTTTCGCCAATTGCAGGTATCTCGCCGTTCTGTCCAATCGAAACAGTCCCATTTTGTGTTATTGAACTTTGTGAAGAAGTTTCAGTGGAAGTGGTGGAAGAGGTAGAAAGAGAAGGAATAAAACTACCATCATCTTTCTCACCCCAAGGGAGATAAGCGAGGACGAGTCCAGGACCTGAATAAGCTTCCGCTTCTCTCATAGCGTTGATCACACCAGCATAATCGGCATAGACAGCGACTGACGCCACGTAAACATCACCCATGTTGAGAGCATACAATGCCAGATCCTTCTTCCTCTCCCCTTGACTCTTCGGTGCTCCGGGTGAGAATGGCGAAGGAGATGTTTCGTAGACCAACAGATTGATATCCAGTCCAGAAGCCAAGGTATGGTGCAAACCTGACGAAGCGAGATCTTTCGACCAAGCGTTGGAAATAACGATCCAAAGTGATTTCTTCTCCCAATGACCTTTCTCACCAAGACTCAACAGTTCCTCCTCTTCTTCGTTGACAGGTGTCCCAATTGTTTCCACCACACTTTGACCGGCGGGAAGAGCGTTCGGTTCGTCTCGAACCAATAACCATTCCGCCACCGCTGCGTGGACTGTCGGACGAGTGGAGGAGCTTTTGAGTATTTGTTTGGCGAGGGTGACGAGACGGTCTCTTTCTTGTCGAAGAGCTACGGCTTTACCAAAGGCGTACAAGGGAGATGTGGTCTCGTTGGCGGCGAGTTGGGAAGGATCGTTGAGTATCTCGAGTGGATGAGGGGAAGAAGTGAGAAGGTTGGTGTAAGTTGTTTCGGGTGATGGGATGGTGATACTACTGGTTGGGATTGAAGGTGGGGTGAATGGAGATCCCAGACGGGTAATAGGAGAGTTGGAAGTGATAGCTTCGGAAATGGCAGAAGATGACACTTCGGAGCCGACAAGGATGGAACGGATGGAAGTTGTGTGACCGTCCAAAGAGTCAACGATGGAAGCCCAGAAGGTACCATATCGACCGTTTGAGCTTTCCACCACGACGACTGCGGAAGCTTGACCCACTGCACGTTTCAGTCTGTCAGATGATATGGGTGAAGCGAGGGCGATATCAAGTATCACCGTATCGTCCGTAGAAGAAAGTGTGTAAGGGAGAAAATTAAGGACTATCTTTGAGGTAGAGGTGGCGGGGATCGGAAATGGACGTTGAGGTCGACGTGTGATTTTCAAAGTCGCCAAAGCTGCCTGTTCGTATGCCTCTAGCAAAGCATCGGTATCTACAATTCCATTTTGGTGAGCTGCGTTTGATGTTTGGTTATTGGGTGAAGAATCGCCATTGATATGTCCATTCGGAGTGGTTGAAATAGAATTCTCTAACCAATCTTTCAAATCTGCACTTTCAACCTCTTGAACATCCCCAAGAGCTTGAGACGAGATGAAATGATAAACCGTCTTATCTCTGGCTAATCTTAGTCCTAGGAGAGAATGATCATATGCCTCTTGAGAAGTACGTGATACAATGATGAAGCCTTTATGTCCATGGGGTAGTTCCAAAGAGGTTACTCCGATGATGAGTATCAACCCTCGATCTGGGGCCGGAAGGGAGGATAGGAAGGTTGCGTCGGTGATCAGAGTGGGGACTTGGGTAATCGATTGTGAGGACGGAAGGGGTAGAGGTAAGTAAGGGTTTAAATGCGAGATCGGGGATGGAAAAGGGGTGGAGATGGGGTGGGTATAGGTGGGACCTGGTAGTTTGACAAGAGCGTCGATGAGCATCTGAGTGAGTCAGTCAGGGGGTTCTTTCATAGGACATGAGACATTGAAATGGATCTCTCACCTTGACTCGGATGTGGGTAGTGGGTGAAAGAATGGATGTGGATGAGAGTGTGTTATATAGTCAAGTTGAGATGACAGTGAGAATACGAAGGAATAAGGAAAGAAATTTAGGTTGACGAATGAAAATGGAGACATCACGCCATTCACTTTATTCCGAACTTTTCTTCCGTCGGAAACACACCCAAACGTTCCGGTTGCCGGTTGCCGGTTGCCGGTGCCTCGCCGTGATCGGTGACAACCCTCTGCCTGGTGCTGCATGCTGCTGCTACAATAATTCTCTGCTCTACGAATAGACTAGAGTACATACACTCCTATCGCCGAGAGACCTCTTTGCCGAAGACTAAGTACTCTACTCGTACTCTTGATAATTGTCAAAAATAGACAACGAATTTGATATCTCGGTCTTCTCACTGCGGAGAGTGATGTATCCGAGGGGATATCAAATCTCGGTGAATCCTTCCAGATGCTGAGATACTCTCTCAAGCCGCTACACCGGAATTCCCAAAAGATAACACTGATCAATGACGCATCTTTCCCTTATGGTAACGATTACATTATATTGATATACATCCATCAATCCCTGTAACGCATCGTATATTTAATCATCACACATTCACTCTTGAAATCCTTCACACACCGACATTCTCTACTCGTACATACCATACTACTTAACACCCTAGTCTCAATACACCTTGACCACACTGTCTCATTATCCCAGATCACCTCTGTCCATATCCCTCTCCCCCGCTTTCCCACCATCCTCCACCCATGACGACGTCCACTCTTGGCGGTCTGGCTTGTGTCCATCTTGGACCAGAAGGTGAATCAGGTAAAGGTACATCTGGTCTTAACCAAGCTACTCCATGTCTTTTCATCGGTGGACCTTCTCTATTCCATGCTAATTCCCTAGTGGGATCAGGATAACCCATAGGTAGATAAATGTTGTTTTGTTGTTTTTGAGTGGTTTCTGCAGTTTGACTCGAAGATACTTTCGATCTCACTTTTCGTCCGACTCTTTCCCCCGATCCATAATCATTACTCCGTACATCCGCCATAGAGTTCGATCTTCTGGTATGACTGGTCGGTGATAAAACCCCTGGAGTTGTAGAAAGTTGTTTCGGAGTACGACTTTCTTCATTTTGAACCGTAGGAGAGGTTTGAGATGGGGAATTAGGATCAATGTTCATGTTCAACAAAGAAGAAAGGTTTTGTCTCGGTCGATCAATCCGACCTGGTGCAGGAGCAGCAGGATGAGTAGCATATCTATCATAACCTTCATCACTTAAAGGATGTATATATCCAATAGTTTTCGTACCTCCTTTGATTGCCAACGAGCTTGGAGGTAATACTTCACCTAGAGCAGCGAGGGAAATGGAAGTTGACCTTTTTGTACTTTTATGAGATTCATCATATCCTGGTCCTTGTCCTTCAACTTGTTTTTGTCCTGATGGGTATACTTTTCGTAGTCCATTTCCCTGATTTGAACCTTGTGGAAAGGGTTGAGTAGGAGAAGTGAAATCTAAAGTCGAACTTGATGAACTGGAAATAGGAGTTGATAAATGTCTTCTTCTAGAATGATATTTCGTTTGTGCTTGTCCGAAAGGAGAAGAAGAGGTATAAGATAGAGCTGTAGTAAGAGTGGAAGGTGAAGAAGTAAAAGGAAGTGTATCAGTCGTATATCTTCTATCTAAATTTGGTCTTCTTCTTTCTTTCGTGTATCCTTTATTTCTCTCTTCCGGTGAAATTTCAAGAGTCCGACCAGATAATTTGGACGAGGTCAATGTTGGTGTCATAACAGATGAATCATTTTTGTTACCTTTTGGAAATTGAAGACCTGGAAGTGATTCAGCTCTCGGTCTAATAGGTTTTATTTTATCCTTTCCATCAACTTTCGTTCTTTCTCTAGATTCTTGTAAATCTTGTGAATTCCGACGTTTTACACGATCAACTTTATCTCTTCCATTTACTTCCGACTGATTGTTCCTGATACGAGCCATATCATTCGTTTCTTTCTTCGTAGGCGAGTATTGAGAATCTTGAGAATAATCATACCTGATCATCCCACTTTCATCAGGAGAAGAAGGTTTAACCAAATAAATTTCTTCCGGTTCAGGATAAATAGGTTCAGGTAATAATAATTTAGGTTTACCAGAATCTTTTTCCCAGCTTCCTCCTTGCCAAATATGACTACCATTACGATATCTTCTTTCCCCCGCTATACTTTGTCTGACTGTTTCAACGGATATAGAACCTGATTTTACGTCTGTGTATCCTGAACCAAATTTTGACCCTTGACTATCTTTCTTTCTGTTCGAAGGTTTGTGAGGGATCTTTGAGTGTTTTGATTCTTTACGAGAATGAGATTGAATCTCTTGTGAGGGAGGAGAGGTAGGGGAAGAAAGTGGAGTGGAAGGTTTAGGAGGGTTAGACCAACCTGAATGTGAAAGTGGTCCAGTTCTTGGGAAAGGAAGAGAACGAGCGAATGGTAAATGAGGTTTTTGAAGATTAAAAGGATGAGTAGGGAATTGAAATGGATTAGGTATTGGACCTTGTGTTGTTGAAGTTCCTCCTTGTCCCATCTGTCCCACCTGTCCCACCTGTCCAATTTGTCCTATGGGGCCTGTGGAACCTAGCTGTCCAATTTGTCCTGGATATCCGACCAAAGGAAAAGTATGTCCCATACCCCTTCCCCAAGGAAACCCTTGTCCATTCATCCTACTTGTACCGCCAGGACTAGTAGGACTATTCATCTGATTCCCTAAATTACCGGAATTCATTTGGTTTTGACTTCCTGATCCTGTAGAATCCCAAGCGGCGGAAAAAGGATTTCCCATTCCTATTCCTATTCCCACTCCTCCCGTCCCCATTGGAGACATATAACCGGAAGTTTTGTTACCGGGAACAGGAGCGCTGGGTCTGTTTATGGGTTCAGGAAGTGGTTGCCATGATCCTCCTCGGGAAAGAGTGGGGATATCTCCTGACATGTAAGCATCAGGATTAATCGGCATGATGGGTGGGGTCCAGGGATCGATGCTAGACACGAACTTCTGTCGTTGTTTGTATTATCGACAAGTTGACTGAGAGGTGGACGAGCGTTGCTGATGACTCGAATAAGTTTGGAATCTTGACGCCGTGTAGTCGAGTAGTTATGTGAATGATAAGTGTCGTAGAGGGAAATGACTTGGGATAACTTGAAGGAATTGTCGGAAATGATATCTTCGGTAGTGTACTTTTTCCAAGTCTACCACACAATGAAACAATGATCAAACACCTGATGAGAAGAGATTGGAGGGAATGGGTGAAATGGGTGAAAGAGAAGATTCTAGTATATCAACTCGATCCTTTATTTCAAGTTCCGCTCTTGAACGCTCCACCAATTCTGGTCCTCAGATAAAACGATCCCACGATCCCACGGTGAGACGGTGAGACGGTAACGTACGGCAACGAGTGAAAGAGATTTTGAATCTTTAGTCTAGACTTTTATCTTTTTTTCCCTTCTTCTCACTTACAATCCCTTGTTCTTATTATATTTCCCTTCCTGTACCGGATAACGACTCCGCATATAGGTTTTGTAATATCTTTGATAAACCGATAATATGGATGTTGCCCACCTATCGGGGTAATATAATAGATTGTTGATTATGATCTGAAATGAGATCAGTATACCCAATTCCGAAATTGACACTTGGTAAGGTATGTTTGGTGGAGGAATACGAAAGAACGCTTAGTAAGTCAAGTAGTTGACGTGAGAAAGAAGAACAAGAGAAGAGAGAAAAAAAAGAAGTCCAAATGTCTTACTGGGCTAGAGCCTGGACTCTACGGTGGCGGAGAGATAAGCCGCAGAACAAAGGAGGTAGATAAGACATTTGTCAATATTTTTTTCTCTGCTTTCTCTCTTCTGCCTTAGGGAGGTCGAATACGATTCGGAAAGATTCGGTCCGAGGAGGTGGAGGTATAAAGGAAAGTATGAGGTGATGTATATTTGGGATGGTGTCATGTTAGTCTATTGACAAAGTGGAGAAGAGATGGGGTGAGGAGAAGAAAGGAAAAAGGTAAGAGAGTTGTTCGACTTGATATCATGTAAGAAGAGAAGATCATGATGGTATGTTAGGGAAGAGGATTGGTGAGTGGTGAGTTTAGTGATCGGTAACATCTTCAACCCCATCATTGAACTTTTACATGTTTAGAAGGTTATGGTCAGATAGGGGAGAAGGGTGGGAAGATGATAGTGTTTGTGATGGTAGTGAACAAAGATCATGTCAATCACAATGATGTGAGCGCCGATGTTATCGGCATGGAAGAGGAAGGGATAGAAAGCATCTATGGGAAAGAAGGCATGGAGAGTTGTCCGGACTCGGGTGGAGAGGAAGAAGGCAGATGGGAGAAGGCGGGAGGGAGTGTCTGGGTGACTAGTGAGAAGGCCTAAGGTATGGTGAATGAGCGAAGAAGAGAAGGCATGAGAAGTGGAGTGTCCATCGTGACATCCGACATGAATGAAAGTCACGCTAATCCTTGGACCGAACCACATTTAGTAAGTCTGTCAGAGCATCTTCAACCACGACGGCTCAGTGATGGTCCAGCTCATGGGAGGAAACACGGGAGGGAACAGACCAGAGGAAGAGGGTGGCGATGTTCAGAAGGAAAACAAAGGAGGGTGAAGAGTATGTACTCGTTCACTATAGAAGATCGAAAGGGATATTCTTGTTCCATCAGAAGGGTTTTGATGACAAGCTACGTTCTTACTCGCTTTGGAATGGTTGCCGGGCATGAGTTGACCGATGAATCATGTCAGGTAAGAAAACGCATGGATGAGAAGAATGAATCAGCACAAAGAGATTTTGAAGTCGTACGTTGACATGCGTCATGATCGATTTGGATCGTTGATTCGTGAAGATCATCGGATTCGTATTTACGTGTAGATCACTCAGGGAAGCGGATAAGGAAGATTGGTTTTGGATCAAGATGTAGGGTATTGAATGTTTCGTGATTTGTGATTGATAATCTTGTCAAGCGTTGAGTTGGGAAATCGTTCAAGACTGAGCTTGTTGAATGGCTTGATCTAATGCAGCGAGGACACCATCGACCACTGGGATATCTTGTCCAGTTTGTGATTTGAGACGATCTTGTATTTTTTGACGCATGGGTGCCATTCCCTATTGATCAGCTCAGAACTATCCCGTAGTTTGGTAAATTGTTGATATGGATGAACTGGAGAGGTAGGTGGATTAACTGACCGCACAACCTAAAACTATCACTTTCGCTCCTTTCTCTACCAACTCGACACCGGCTTCTAACAACTTCTCCTCCGGTCCATCACCATGTAGATTGACTGCGTTGAACCCTGTTCCGCGGGTACCTGTGTATCTGTTCGGATCGATCAACAGGGTTCTGATAGCTTGATCAAAAAGAGGTTCCCAATCTGACATCAGTGTTCCATCTCGAAGCAGATCTGAAAACCGATGGATGTTTCATACGAGTGAGAGATAAATAAAAAGACTTACTCCTTCCCGTCGTGGCGATCCCAAAGGTTGGCCCGAGTTGTAAAGCAGCTATAATCCCAGCTTCCAGAATTCCCAAAACCACCACTTTCTTCTCCATCACTCCTGCTCCCTGGTACAAAGCGAATTGCTCCTTCAATACTGGTATCAAAGGATGTTCCGAGAAACAAGAAACAACAATAGCGTCATACTTCTCTCTCAACTCTTGAACCCCATCAAACGTTTCTAGTTTCAAGTCACGGATTATCTCAGCGGTAGAAATGACACCATGTAAAGTACCATCTATACTTGGCGGAGCAGTAGATGGGGCGGTGTAAAAATCAATCCTTACGCCCGGATAACGAAGTGACCTTGTTTCTGTATTCGGAATAGGTTCTGAAGCTAAAGATTGATATGGAGAAAGAGACGGTACTGGATCAGATTCGGAGAGGTAAGTGACGGTTTCCAGGGTGAAGGGGAGGGTGGAATTTGGGTTGATGTAAAGGAGTTTGATAGGGGCGTCGAGGGGTCCTAAGGATGAATGTATATTGAGCATGGTCGTTGGGTCTTTGGGTTGTTGAGAGTGGGAGTACGAAGTGTTAAATGATGTACTACTCGTACTTTGAGTTGATGGGTTTTTTGAGTCTTTATAAGAAAAGCTTGTGATCTGTTAGGATTTCCCAATTCTGATGGTGGGTTGGAAGGGGTTTTCACGGTCGGATCCGAGATTCCCGATCAACGGGACCTGAGAAATACGTAAGAGATAAGATCTTCCCTCTTCCAAACGCCCCTAGCGTCTTTTTTGTTAGATCACTCAACCTCAATCGATCAATGATGACATCAAAATGTCCGTGCGCCTTCCTTTGGGACTACGACAAGCTTTGACCATCCTTTGTGGTTGCGCCCTTCTCCTTCGCTTACCTAAACACCGCTTGTCCCCTTCTCCCCTCTCTCCCCTCTCTCCCCTCTCTTACTACCACTACTAGTATATTCCAGCACTCGTACTTAATTTCACCGTGTCAAACATTCTCATCATATCATCCTTTTCTCCGAAGCTTTTACCCCCACTTTTACCCAACATCTATTCAACATACCCTTGCTTCTAACCCCCCCCCACCGTCCCCACCCTACCGACGACCGACATCCAAAGCTTGATAGACACTTTGACACCCCCCCACCCGTCTCGCTCGACACAAGTCCGAGTTTGAATAGTCTCGTGAAATTGTTATCCATGGATCCGTCCATTTCAAAGCCGAAACAGATTCGCAAAACTCAACGGGCGCCGAAACGATGTGAGACTTGTTCAAAAGTGAGTCAACGGTATCTTACTTAACATAACCTTTCCTCACTTTACATTCTGTCAAATGAATGTTCTTGTCAATATCTCAATCCGTCTCGAGGAAGGAGAATGACAATGACTTTGACTGATTTTCAGAGAAGGATCAAATGTGACGGTCAAATACCATGTTCTTTTTGTCTCTCAAGATCCATGGGACATCTTTGCAAAAGAGAAACGGTATTTGTTAAAGGTCGTCTGGTACCAGGTGGCGAGGGACTCGCACCTGATGCTGATTTGGCGAGAATGTCGAAAGAAGATCTATGGGCTCAAATATGTTCTTTGACCCGAGAAGTGGAAAGTTTGAAAAGAAGAGGAAGCTCTGAATCTCAATCGGGTTCAGCGGTCAGTCCTCAGAGTGCGGATCAGAGAGGAGGTCATGATTATCCCAGAGGGGATAGTTCGGAGACGAGAGAGGATTTAGATCATGAGGTGGGTAATTTATTCCTCATTCTTCTCAAACCTCCCAAGTATAATTTAGAGCACAGTTGGAGGACTGGAACATACAAGCGTAGGAGAGGTCGCTAATTCAGACAGTACAAAGTGTTTCCTCCAGAAGGACAGAATGATCTTGGAAGGATGGCACAGAGACTTGGCTTCATACATTCCGACTCCAAGGTGACCGACGAGATGTTAGAGGCGGATAGTGAGTTGTTACCTTTATCTTCAGTCTTCCTCTACTCATCAGGCATCGGTCAACTTGGGGAAGGACCATGTGCTACACACCCTTCGTCTGTATACAAACTACAACCACTAAATCGAGGCCCCACTCCATATTCGTCTCATCCTTTGGCCGACATCCCGAGATCCTTCCGGAAAGAGACATGATCCGCAACCACCCCAGGAATTGTCAATCATAGCTTTGAGGTATTTCAGACTGCTGTCAGTATAGGGAGAAGAAGAGTAGGGACAGAGGGAGTTACCGAAGGGGGAATCTCACTGACCCCAGGCATCGACGCATCCATGGCATACCCAAATGATTTACCTCTACCGACATTCGAACTCTCACGACAACTACTCGATTTCGCACTGGATGAACTAGGTTGGCTCATAGCCATCGTACCCATGACGTTCAAAAACGAACACGAGTTAGCATGGCAATATCAAACCGCTCAATCCGGTCCTTCTGAATCACTCGACGTCGCAAACTTGTTCCTTCATCGTCCGGCATGGACGGCCATGTATCTAGCATTGGTCAGCTGCGCGTTGGTATATGTCCGACAGGACAGAGCGTACGAGTGGGGTGTACCGCCTAGACAGAAAATGTATCTGGCGAGATTATGGTTTAGAGCGGGGGTGAATATGATGTTGAGTGGTGCTGCGAGTTTGGCCAGACCAAACTTGATGCATTTACAGACGTTTTGCGTGTTAACTTTGTTGACACAACCTTTCAAGTGAGTCGTCTTGTATCTTCGTCATGTCCTCTTATGTCCTACATCCATTCTTCTCATCTGTCTTTTTTTCTGTCCTAATATGTGTTCTGTATGTCAACTTGCGCCGCAGATCGACCGAGATATCCCAAGATTCACTCCCTTGGGGTGGACGGGAATATGTCTGGAGATCGGCAAGACGAACTCAGCGCAATGAAAATCCTGGCTGACGTTAAGCGCTTCCGCCTTACACGATACACTCTTAGCTAGTATGCTCCAAGCTGGCAAAAGACTCTGCGTTCATCGACAAGATGCCCCCCACAGCGCAGCTTCGGAGATTGGGAAACGTGTATGGGGTTTCATGCTTTGTCGTGAAGCCATGTACGCGGGGGAAGAATACGTTCCGACGTGTGAGTATTCCATGTGTCCATGTGTTCTTCAAACCCACATATCCCCTTCACGGCAGATTTCCTGTTCGCTTGCCCTCGGACGAGATCTGTAGTGTTGATCATATATCATTCCGACTTGACGTAGAGTGAAATTTTGCTGATGATAGTCTGTACCAAAGCTCCACAACCTTTTGCTACTTATCTAAACATCCACGAACCTGAAGATGACCCAGAATCTGAGCAACCCATGACCGCGCCCACTCGAGTGGCTTACCTCACCGCTCAGTGTCGTCTTGCAGCGTATGTGAGCGATCTGAAGTGTCTACCGCCCGATCCCTCTTATGAGAAAATTATGGAATTTGATCAGAGGCTTTCGGCGTTGTTTGAAGATATGCCGTATTTCGAACCGGGGTATAAATTTCAGCCGTATCATCCGAGATGGTTGCAGACTGGTGAGTTGAGGTATAATCGCTCATCCCTTCCTTCATCAACACATCTGGCCTCCACTGGCCATTCAGATATCTGAGTATTCGTAAGCGCCCAGTTATGAGTCCCCAAGGGCATTTTATCGCTGAACAGTCGAACGAGCAGCTTGATTATGGTTTTTCAAAGACGTGTGCCGCAAGTCATGATAGTTTGACTGACCACCAGCCCGGCACGTACTTGCTATGAGTAGACAGCAAAAACGTCTCTTCCTTCATCGTCACTACTTTGCACTTTCGGCTTCACACGAACGCTATGCCCGTAGCCGAAGTATCTCGGTCGAAGCCGCTCTAAGACTATACGACGAGCGTCAAGCAAATGATTTCCCATTCGATGATTTCCTCGATACCATCAACCAGTCAGTCTTTCTCCTCCTCCAAAAGTTCAATCAGAGACTAACATCGCAGTTCTTTACCCGCTGCCATAGTCTTGTTACTAGATGCCATCTACCCACTTCCTTCTCAACATACCACACCGCAATTGATGATCGAGCGATGTGAACAAGTCGAACGTCTCCTTGGTCCTTTGAGAGCTGCAACCTATCGAGCTTCCACAACGGCGATAACTAAATCTCTCGCTAGTGTAGACGAACTACTTCAAGAGAAACTTCGACAAGCTCAAGCTGCTATAGCCGCCGAAGCTTCTAGAGAATATGCGTCCACTTTATCGGATATGAGACATACTCAAATCCCACAACCTTTGATCAATGGGATGGAAGGGACAGATGTTGGTCAGAGGTTAGAGATTGGTATGAGGACCCTTGGAATGCCGGGACCTGGTGATGTGGGTCCTGGAATAGGTGTGAGGGCGGTGAATCCATTTGGGAACGTGGATCCTGAAGCTGGGAAATTGTTGTTACAAAGAGATACCAGTTTATCTGCTTTGTTAAATGATTTGGATTTCGGTGGGTTGAGATTTACGTATCCTTCGTCCCTCACTTATCTTTACACCACTCCTTGGATACAGCATTAACATCCATCCCGACACATGTTCGGGAGAATTATAAAGTCGATTCCAGTTCCTTTCGCGGCTCTACGGGGGATGATATAGTAGTGACAAATACCCTGTTTTACTGGCGTCATTACATATAGTCTATGTGGTACAAGGGGCAACTTGTGAAATGAAGATTGAACTGATGACAGACTGGATGTTATGTAACAACGACGCTTCATGGGGTGTCGGAGTTGATAACATGTGGACTTGGACCCCTCCGAGGGTTTGAGCATGTTATCCCCATATATGCCCGGTGTTTGTTCGACGAATCAATACAATCTTTCCTCTGTGCTCTCGTATCCGCTTGCCATATCGATACTGTTACACTCACCAAGGCTACTTCATTAACCAATCTGTCAACTATCACTACCCCTGTATCCTGCAATAAATCTACATCTCCCTCCTCAATGTGCATAGCTGGAAACAGGAAGGAAACAACACACGATTATCTGTTCCGCTTAGAATTGTCATTATCATTGTCTTTGTTCATTTATTGTCATATCATACATAGACATTTGCATACATATCATTGTTTAGTATCATCTGTGATGTGTCGTTGACGTTTGTCAGAGCGTCACGTCTATCATCATGTTCCCACCTAATCCTGATACACATTGCATCCATCCTTCCACCTTCCTCGATCCGTTGCTACTACTTCCCTCAACTGACAAAATCGACAACTGGGACCTCCCGTTCTATCTCTCTATTTGACATATTCCCAAGTATATCCATCTCGATTTCAATTATGGGATGACTGGAATACACACTGTATTTCGATCTGGTAGATTAAAACAGCTTAAGACATAGTGGGATGATTATCAATAACATGAATGATTTTACGGGTAAATCCTCAACTCCTCGTTCCATAAGTAGCCTCAATCCTGATTCTAAGATACTCCCCACCGGTGAGATCCCTAGTTCCAGGTGGTAAACCTTTCCGACGGATTATCTCTTCGAACTCATCAGATGCCTTCTTGTCCGAGTCAAGTAAGAGTTGGGAGGGACCGAGTGGTCGGAGGAGGGTATCGTCGTCCGGATGGTAAAAGAATGCCATAGCTGAGACATAAGCTCACATGATCACGAATCCAGTTTGGAGAAGCATCCTGAGGGTGTTTTTAATCGTGAGCAAGGGTCACAGAAAAGGGAGCGGAAATAGATCGGGAATAGAATGAATGATCATGTCGGACTACAAGGCACAGAAACGTTGTTGTAGATCATATACCGTAAGAAGGGCGTAGTGATCATAGCTGGGAAAGACGGGTGTTTCGGACAGGGATTGGGATGTCGTTGCGTCATCCCTGACGAGAAGCAAGGAGGAAAGGAACTCACAAAACCGGGATTGTGCCTCGATGGAATTGCGGGGCATGACAACTCTGTGTCTCGTGGACTGTGATCAGTCTTCGTCACTAGTCTCTGCTTGAAACGATGGTGGGTAGGGCTGCATCGATCTCACATCGATTGTACGATTGAACCTATGAAGCGGAGAAATCTTATCTGATTGAGAGAACAGGAGTGGTGAGAGGTCATGGAGAATACTAAGGTAAGGAGTGATGCCAGCTTCGGCAGTGTAAAGTCTGGTAGAGAAACTGGTGAAATGGGGGAAGAAATCATCGACCAACTAATCACACGGAGAGTGTATGAACATGAAGAAAGAAATGGTAGACTGAACAATCACTCACCCTGAACTTGCCCCCAGACCAGAATTCAAGAGCATCACCAATGTTCACCACCACACATCCTGGACGAGGAGGAACGTCGGTCCAGACACCATCTTTGATAACTTGTAATCCGCTCACGCGGTCTTGGTGTAGGAGAGTGATAGTTCCGTAATCTGTATGAGCACCAGCGCGGATGTCTAGGCTACTGATTAGTCGGTTTCCATAATCACACGTTGGCTCATCGTCCACATCTACCCCGTCCGTGCGATCATGCTCGGCTTAGGTAAAGTGAAGGGAGGGTCATAATCTTTAAGGGGACGATTGTCTCAAATAGGTCTGATGATTTGACAGTTGGACGGACCAACAGCCCGAGATAAAACAATGACAATAATGATGGACTAATAGAAGACTTCATTTCTCACATAGCCGAGAACAAGAGAACGTGTCTTCGGCCGGATCTTACACAGAGACATAGATAAAAAATAGGAGTATATCACCCATCGTGCGTCTCGGAGGATTCACAATCCTCGAACGGGGAAAAGAAAGTTTAGAACGAATGAACAGAACACGACTCACTGATCGACGCCACGGTACGAATGTTCTGGATAATGTAATAACCGTAAACGTGAATGTTCGCCGGTATGAGCTTTAGCGAGATAATCTTCTTCCAGCTGTCATATCAATACTTTCCTTACGACCCATGACACATTCTCCTAGTGCGTTGATCGGACCAAAATGCCGCTTTACACTTTTGAGACTGGATGGAATATCTAAATTTGATTTGTGCCCGTCTCAATCATGTGTGGAAAAGGGAGGACAGTAGAAAAAGGGAGATATCAACGTGGAGAAACCAAAAAACTCACTCCTAAAGCTAGTGCGAGACCCCGAAGGATAATCTGCGCCACCATGGTATTACGATCAACGAAAGAGTCGAGCTTTTCACGTCGAGTCGTTTGGGCCAAGAAGGGAGGTACGAATTGAGTTACACCCTTACGCACGAACCAACGATCATCACCGTAATAATAACTTTCTTTGACATCCCCATTACCGGGCATAACCGAATCAAGACTGCGTCAGAGTCAGCGTGGCTCTCACACACATACACGCAGGCTTCTGAGTATTCTTCTATCTTGGCCAGGGCGTTACCTCCGAGTTACCCGGGAACATATGGCGATGAAACATGTCGTCTTGTGATGTGTGGAACATCAGGGTCTAAATTTGTTGACAAGAGGGTGAAGGGTTATTTAGTGCGGTTCAAAAGTTGATGAGGGTAAAATCGATGACAGATCAGAGAACAGAGATGGATGATCATATCAAACTCACCTTTCTTGCCTCACGGCCGTATAACCTAGATCGCCGTTACCCTTGAGTTTCTGCTCGGGACCAGCGGTTAAAAAGTAGTCACGGGAAATAGCGAATACTTCTTCGATGAGCGCTTGAGGAATACCATGATCGGCGAGATAGAAGAAACCATCGGTAGTACAGGCGTGCAAAAGCGCTTGAGCCAACGACTGTGGCGTAACGTGAGCTGCCAAACGAATGACGGGAAGAGCTTCGGTGCAAGGTTTGTGAGTGTGGGTGGACATTCTGGTGGGGTTGAATAACTGAAAAGAGTGAGCGACGAATACCCTTATATATCTTGCTGCCCATGGGCTGACGCATATGGCAATGCTTAGCGGCGTGTAGTGTGGGGAGACAGGAAGTGTTAAATTCTGGCGCGGACTCACCTCGCGGTCCATCGAGCTAGAAGAGTCAAGGTCGATCTAACGGATTTACAGGGACTAGTAACAAGCGACGTATCCAAGTCTAAGCAACGACAATGTGTTGGAGTCGTGGGCCCGACAAGAGCGCAAAGGTGAGAAAAAGGCGACGCTGTTTTGAAGATACGAGTACTCGAAGTAGTGTCGTATCGATTTATTTTTGTTTCGAGGAAAAAAGGATTTCCGGATCTTGGCCTTTATTCGTTATGTTGCCAAACTCGTCGGAAGGCCCAACACAATGGAACGATATGTTTGTACGGTCAAAACAACATGTTCACTCCGAGAGCGTCGGGAGTGGACCGAATTAGAGGTTCGGTACAAGATTGACACCGTGATGCCCCAACCCCAACCCCCACTTATAATCTCGTGCGTATCCCATCGCATCGCCCGGGAATCAAGCGAAGTTTGTTCTGAAAACTTGTTCCCGGAGCCAGTATGGGGACCGTGGAAGGTGTAAGCAGTTGGAGAGGGGCCGTCGAGAGCGAGAAAATGACCGAGTGTCGCGCGACCATGTTCATGTTGACGTGCGGGAACGTGGTGAGAAGAGAGAAAAATCTAGTGGTTCTGGGTGTTTCGGTAATTATAGAGCCATTTTCGACCCAAGTTCAGGAACCGGGAAACAAGCCGAGATTGAAACGGTGCAGGTTGCGCCCGAGCCGCCGGGAGTCGGTGGACACGTTTCCCGTTGATGGATTGACATGCGTGTCATAGGCCAAGAAGGCAGTGGCTGAACACGACGTCGGACAAACGATGCATAGGCGGAGAATTCAAGATGCCACAAAGACGGATGCCACGCTGCCGATCAGGGGCCATCTCGGCGAGGGATTGGTGGGACAAAGATAAAGGGTAAAGAAAGGGCAGGCACCATCTATACAAACGCCCATCAAGCCTTATCACCTGAAACTCGTAACTCAATCAGATTACTGATCTCATCCACACATCCCTTTCGGCATCTGTTCACTCCCTCTGCACTCTGCCCCCTAATGAGCACCGTCCTTCGTATCATTCATCTTTGTGGGATTCGCATACCTCGTACCAGCTGACGTGTTCGCTTCAGATCCTGATTCATTGACAGCGCATTTCTTCAGAGGCAGAGAGAATTGCACATGATCCGCTCATCGGTCACTCAACGGATGACAACCGTCAGCTGGAAAGATGATGGGGTCCCGACTCCCAACGCCCCTCCCTGCTGTTCAGGGACACTCGCTCGAGCCTCTTAGCAACAGGGGTAGGACGGCTGTGATGGAGATGGCATTTCCCGGTCTTGAGAGACTACTTAGATATGAACCTGATGAGGTTTTGTGGAATCGAAGATCGCCACTTGAACATGTCATTCCACAAGATTTTAAACTTGCTCAAGGTACAGAGGGACGCGGAAGATGTGGCACACGATGGGGTATACCTCAACAAGGACACGAGACCACTGCCGCCGTCTCGTAGGACGTATGGACCATGGAGGTGAGTTCAGGAACGTGATTTTGTTGGAATCTCAGAGCAAGAGGTTGACTGCTGACGACCAGTTTCATAGGACGTGAATCTCTCCCTCAACCTTGAGACGGACTGATGCTGACACCTGTCTAGTATGGATGGTAACCGGGAGCTTCAATATCGGTGGTTACACCACTGGCTCTTCCATTCTGTCCCTTGGACTAAATGTCTGGCAGGCCATGTTGGTAGTCATCATAGGTCATTGTCTCGTGGCTTTGGTCTGTTTGGGCACGGGAATGCCGTCAGTTCCTCATATAATCCTCTCTATAAAGCTGACACCACAGAGGCGCTGAATGGCATATCGGTTTTCCAATCCTCCAGCGTTCTACTTGGGGTATACGAGGCAGCGTGAGTCCCTCGTTTCATATACCCCCAATGATCAATTTTCCACATTCAGAAATTAGATTGATGATCATCAGATTTTTACCCTATGTCTACGTATCTTACTTTCCTTCGTATGGTGTTCGGTCCAGTTATGGTGGGGTGGAAAATGTGTCAAGACGTTCATCGGAGCGATATGGCCATCTTTCTATCGAGTGAATCATCCTTTAGCAGGTGGAACGATGGACGTGTCGGACTTTGTAGGGTTTCTCATCTTTGCTCTGATGTGTTGCCCCGTCGTTTGGGTACCTCCGGAGAGATGCGAGTTTTCCTCCCTTTTGTAGATTCTACGCTGAACCATACATAGATCACAAATTCTTCATCGTATGTTCGATAGCCATGATCGCTTGCGTTTTCGCCCTCTGTAAGTCTTCGTCCTCCATGTCTTGGTGATCTATTCTAATGAACAGTGGGCTGGGCTGTGAACGCAGCCCACGGACCTGGTGCCCTGGTTCATAATACATCAGAATTGGTCGGTGTCATACCTGCCAAAGGGTCAGCCTTGGGATGGGCGTTTGTGTACGGTATCTCATCTATGCTTGGTGGCAGTGAGTAATCTTCCTTACCCTATTCCTCAACACCGTTCCTGTCAGACTTGTGCTTTATGGACGGGTGGGGCAAGCTGAAATACCAGTCGCCGTGCATCTCTTCAACCAGTCCGATTACACTCGTTTCGCCCGAAGACCAAAAGACCAAATCCTATCACAAGCCCTCATAGTACCTCTGGGTACAATCCTCAACGCTTTGATCGGTATCATCGTCACTTCTTGTGCGGCTCAACTTTATCCTACCGAGGGACTACTCTGGCAACCGTACGACCTTTTCACAGCTATACAGAACGCTTCTGGGAACTCTAGCCGAACTCGTGCGGCTATTGCTTTCGCTAGTATCGCTTTCATCCTCGCGCAACTGTGGGTCGATCGTTGTTCTTCTTTCCCATGGCTTGAAGGGTTTCGCGGAGCTGCTTGACAGAACGGCTAGGGGTAAGGAATGATAGGCTGATTTGCAGGGGGATAGCAGTGGTCGAAAATGCTCTCAGTGGTGGTATCGACCTAGCTGGGTTGCTACCAAGGTGGTTCACCCTCCGCAGAGGGGGGTATTTCACCATCGCCCTGGCTTTTGTGAGTCGAAAACATTCAAGGTGTTTTATGACTAATGCATAGGTATTTCAACCTTGGCAATTGCTCAACGGCGCTAGCAAATTCCTCACTGTCATCGGAACATTTTCCACTTTCTTGAGCCGTAAGTTCATTCCTCTTCCTTCACACCGTTGTCTTACATGATGTTCTTGTTCGTCTTCTTGGATTTGACCTTCTTTGGACAGGTTCAAGAACTGTCAGGTCTGTTGCTGACCGACGAGCTATGATCGCCATCATGATAGCCGATTACTTCCTTGTTCGTCATCGCAAGTTATCCCTCACCAATCTCTTCACCAACTCGCCCCATTCGATATACTGGTTCAACCATGGATTTCATATACGGACCTTCATATGTTGGCTGATTGGTGTTTTGCCTTTCACTCCGGGGTACGTACACCTTCACTTTACTCGGGAATTCGAATTATATCTGACGTACAGTCTTGCGGCGAGTGTCCGAGTAGAAGACCTGCACGGATGGACAAAGTTGTACAACATGGGCTTTGTGAGTATCTGCAGGTGGTAGTTTTCAGTCGAGCTGATGTGCTAGATCCTCGGCTTTGTCATAACTTTCGTCCTCTACTACGGCTCCAACTTGATCTTTCCCATCCCTTACGCAACTATCGTTGATGAAGAAGATGTTTTCGGCACTTTCACCGAACGCACGGATTCGCAACACGAAATCTCCTTCGTCGGTCCGGATGCAGAGAAGAACGGTCAAGATGAGGAGGATGTGAAGGATGTGAAAGATGTTCAAACGACTGTATGAAGGAGTTGCGTGAAGGGAGCTGTGTGTCTCAAACTTTCCTTTCTGGTCTTGGGTTCCTTGTGAAGTCCTTAATCCCTTGACCTCTTTCCTTGCCTCAAATTTGTTCACGAGCCATTGTGTATCCACTTCGACAGATATGACCCTTCGCTTATGCATGATTAATGTGCTCGGCTGTCGTTCACGTCGTTTAGAACCGCATGAGAGGAGTTATAGATCCTCAGGTGACTTAGTAGAAAGGAGTGTAAGCGAACCTGAGCCGTCGCTCGGCTGAGGGGAAACAAGCGAGAATTTGACGAATACTTAAGGGCCCTCTCGTGGGCAAATCTCTCCATCGCCAACTCGACAGAGCTTTAAGTGAAATCAACAATAATCAGGTAAACACAAACATCATGTCCCAGACACAAAGTACCGGTAAAACCACTGTCGCTAAATTTATAATTGACATCGAACAGGATGAAGACGCCCTTAGCTGTAATGTTTTTACGAAAACGCTGTTCATCCCATCCGAGGCAGATGAAGCAGAATTCATCCGAGAAAAAGTTGAACAGACACTCAGGAGCTGTTTCTCTGCTGGTTGGATGATCAGAAAAGTGGAAGCGGAGGAAGTAGAAACGAATTTAGAAACATACATCGGGCAACTGACACAGGACGCTGTGAAGTCGGTCCTTAGAAGTTGGAATCATCCGAAGACTTTTGCAACATATGAGATAAACGTTCATATGGTAGACTTGGACTTCTGCTATCAAAGTGATTCGGACACAGGGGTGAAGGAAGAAGAATCAAGGAAGTAAGGATAAGTAGGAATCATTGAACAGCACAGACACCCCTACCGTGAATGGTGATGCATGGCTAATCTGGTAATTCGATTACCTCTCTGATAACAGTAGATGTCAGAGGACCCATCTCTCTAGGCCTGTTCCCCTACATGTGAGCTTTGCCAAGCCTTTAGATCTTCATGAGCAGTAACGAGATTCTTTCTAAGTCCTTGAGTCAAGATGAAACCATCGTTTGCTACAGATAGCAGGGTAAATCCCATGTCGAGATGTGGTTTCACCATGGGCATGAAGGACGGCATCATGGCACCTAATCCATGTTTGGCAGCAGCGTCCGAGACGAGTTTGCAACATCTGTCCATTAGAGACATCTCCAATAAGTTTATAATACTCACTCTTGGAAAGTGGGATCTTGTGCCATGGTCGCAAAAGTCAAACCAAGAGAACCGGCAAGGTCACCTGTCGCGTAAGCTAGACCGCCAGATATGCCAAATCAGATTCGGGACGTACCAGGACCAAGCATCAAACAGTCAACTGGGTCAATCAGCAACTGACTCGTCCGATGGTGAACGAGACTCACTTCCATCAACGGAAGCGATAGCATCTGCATTCCTGGCACCTATCTCATCTTCAATCTGAACGATCACCGCGGCTCGATTGAAAACTTCAAACATCCCTCCTCCACCATGAGCGTTATCGTTGTATCCCCAAAGTAAAGCATTGGGAGGGATCGATCTTTCTCCTCTGGGTGGAAATCTGGAAACTTTTACGACTGCCTCAGCTTGTTCAGGGGTCGAAATCTAATGATCTGTCAGCGTCCAGACCATATCTTCGATCAAAAAGATAGGGATGGACTGACATGTGGAACAATGACACCAGAAGCACCTGCGTCCTGTTGAATCAGTGAATACTGAAATAAGGCGGTGAAGAGACGTACCAAAACCCAAGCGATATATTGGTGATCGTGACTTGGGACGCTAACAATCAGCTGTGTCCGGAAAACAATCTTCTGTTTAAAAGTCCTTGGAGGATTACTAACCGGACTATCACCGCCGTATTACCTTCACCTGCGTATTGAATAGTTTTGATCATTTCAATAAGAGTCTCCGTACCTAGTCATTAGTCTCGGTGAAGTGAACAGACCTTGACACTTACTGAAAGATGTATGTTCCCAATCTAACAAGACGTAATCATACCCTGCTTGACCTATAGCTCTCCCCAGGCCGATATGAGGAAACGCCCCATAGAATATACCTATCATAGGTTTCTCCCTAGACAATTTGATACGAGATCTTAAGTCGAATGGTTGATTCAGTCCATATCCACGATAGTTGATCATAGGGGGGTCTTGGGGAGGAGCGGGAAGGACGCCAAAACCTGTTGCCATCCCGGCGTCACCCAGAGGTGGACCAGATTTGAAAGTATGAGGTTGGGACATTGTGGATGTTGAGTTAGGGCTGTTAGGATGGAGTCCTGTAAATTATTCATATATATATATACATGAGAAGGGCTTTAGTCGACACGCCAGCGTCAGTCGAAAAGAGGAGGTGGAGACCGGTGGGTTACACCTCGGGGTGGAGGTCGTTGCCAATATGTAGGGTAGTCGCCGAGGTCATTTAAAAAGATGCGTTTCTTCTTTGCGGGATCGACAGGTGACATACCGTATGACTTGCGGCGAGCGGTCTTCGTGACCGCGTAAGATATATACGAGGTTCGTGATGATTAAGCGAGAGGGCGATGGAAGTCGGAAAATCGTTAATGATAAAGGATTCGTGTTCACCAACACGGTCTGTCTTATCCACCAATCACCCATCACACCAGCTAGCCATTGCATTTCCTAGCATTTGATGAGTCACTTCAGGCGACGAGCTGAGTAATCGGGTTGTCTGTCTATGGAGGGGGCGGTCTTAGATTCCAGAGGAGGATCCGAACAACGAGGATCAACGGTGACTGAAATGAGTTACTAACGCCGGATGTTCGAGGAGTATGACTTCCTTCCAAGGAACATTATTCGGCGAAAGGCCTGTCCGTTCATTGCGGATCAAAAGACTCTCGAACGACTTGGAGCTTGTAATAGATGACAGACGTGGATGACCATTGTCTTCTCTGTTTGCATGGAATTCATGCCAGGGGAAGTCTAGTGTGAAAGTGATCCTCTGACGACAGGGGGTTGATGGTTGTCATGTAGGATTCGTGGCTGTGGCACCGCACCCGTTTATCTTGCCATCCCCTGTCAGCTACTACTTAGGGAATGATCCTCTACCCGACGGCCGACGGCGGACTGACACCAATCGAGCAGGACATTGAATGCTCATGTGTTCCAAGTGTGTGTATGCATCTATGTATGTCCGCTCAAAACCGAGTGATATCCCGACCAAAAAAGCTTGCCAAAGTCCAATGAATTGGCACGAGCACCTTATTTCTCCAACCCATAGCCAATTGAGCGTAGTAGGATCTCCAAAGTATCCAAGCTGCCCAACCTGCCATACGACTTTTAGGACCTGCTACATCTTCTCTGGAGCGATCTACCAAAGCCTGCAGATCAGCATGCTACCTTTATTCTCCCATTACTCCTCTCCTCTCGACATATCGATTTTCACAAAGATGTATCACCTGAGAGGAAGAAGACCATGCGGGGATAGAGCGTTAGACTCACCCTCGAATTTCCAACGTATACCATACTTCCCCAATTCTTCCACTCGAACCCTGGCTGAGACTCGAGTGTCTGACCACGTCCATGAGCGTTCAGTGCCTTGGCAAGCCACTTTGCTTGCTGAGTAGCCACTTGGGCCGTGGCTGGGAGAGGTGGACCATCAGCCGGAGTAGCATTATCTCCGATGGCAAACACGCCTTTCAGACGCTGTCCCTCTGTATTTACAACACGTTGCCATTTGTCGACCAGGATTCTTGCAGATCAGCTGGGATATATGGGAGGGAAAGGAGAGACTCACGCTCGGGAACGTTCGTGCTTCTTGACCGGAAGCGAAGCGATGAAAGGATTAGGACACAGACCGGTGGACCAGACCAATAGACCATAAGGATCTGAGTATAAGCAATATACCTCGTAAGCAATTGACGTCAAGATTCTCACGTCGTTCCTTTCCATCCAGCTCAACCCAATCTTCTCCCATGGCAGTGATCGAAGAATTAGGACGAATGGTCACCCCGTCCCTATGGAATTTCTTCTCTGCGTATGCCCTCAAACTCGCATCGAAATTAATCAAGATACCGGGAGCGACGTCGTATAAGGTGATACGGACTTGGTCTTTCAGATGAGGATATAACCGATAGACGTCACGATGAACAAAGTCATGAAGTTCGGCGGCCCATTCAACTCCTGTAGGTCCTCCGCCGACGATCTTGAAAGATAACAGGGCCCTTCTAAGTTCAGGAGAACATGTTGGTTCTGATGCCTGTTCAAGACATTCCCTACAAGTAAGTCTAACCCCGATATGGTTAGTTGAGGGGACAACTCACAATAGACGTCTTCTGATTTTTCGAGCATCTCTGATATCTTTGAGGAAATGAGCGTGTTTCTTGACCTGCGAATTAGCATACACAATTCGATGATAGAGTACATTCACTCACCCCAGGGATCCCGAATGATGCAGAGTAACAACCAACCGCTATGACAAGTTTATCATAAGGTAAATTATAAAATCTCGGAGGAAGCAACACATGATCAGCGGGATCATTGTCCCCGACGACCGTTGCCATACCACGTTGTTGTGCTCTGTGACGTGATGATACAGGAATCATAGTGTCAACGTTAATGTTTTGTCCTGAAGCGGGTGACTGGATTGATGGGTGACCGGGATGATTGGGGTGAGTACGAGCAACCATGGCTGCTAATTCTGCGTGTGGTGGAGTTACGGATGATTCTATTCGAAGTTCTCTTCGTTCAAAGTCTGAAATCTCAGCTTGCCAGTTTTCGAGGTGGAATGGATCACTGACCTATACTATCCGCCCACCCTTGAGCATACTCCAGACCTTTTATACCTCTCACAGGCTCGGTAGCGCATCGAAATTCCAACGTTCCTACCGAGGTAGACGCTAGGAAAGGGGTGAAGGAGAAGTAAGATACCGGTGACACCAAAGTTACTATCCTTCAGTCCCGGTCATATTCCCTTCCTAGAGTTACTTACCATCATAGAGTGATTTATCAACACGTCTTGTTGAATCAGCTGAAGTCATCATCTTGTCAATTGATCTACTCACCTGGCCAGATTATACCCTGCCCAACCGCTGCCGAGAATGACAAGTTTCTTCTTAGCTTGTATTGTGGTGCTGTATCGAGAGATGGAAACTCTACTTGTGCCAGCTATGACTGACCCTCGCAATGAACTGAACATGTCGGAAAACAAGAGCAAGGAGAGGTATCCATGTTGAGGTCCATGACTGTTGTCTACTTGTATAAAGCCTTTCCGTCCAACTGTTCTGTCCTACTTGAGAGTTGTGCGGAAAACCATTGTCGGCGTTCCGGGCCGGCTATCTTATCGTGATCGACGGGTAAATTCGGGCGCAGAGTTCTTCAAGTATCAACTCGGAACAAGTCGCTCATCATGACGTTTCACTTTCTTCCGCTGTGCCGTGGAGACCTGAGAGATGAGGACTGTACCGCTGGGAGTTCATCAGTTTCCGGCAAATCAAGAGAGAGCAAAAGAAATTCCTTAAAGTCCAGACCTGCATTGTCCAGGTCTGATTGAAAGAAGTTTAACACCGGGCGATGATGCAAGGTGACGTTTGACCTGATGCATACAGATCATAAACCTACGACGAACAATCCCACATACAAATATTCGATATTGCTACCCAATCTTCTATAAAATACGCGAAAACTTTTGATGACGCCGGCAGGGCTTGCCTCACCCTCAACTTTCGAGGCTTTAGAGGAAATGACGGAAACTCGGATTCTTCTTTCCGTCTACCAAAGCTGAAGTAGGTACATCCAAACTTGTCCAGTTGACCCCTTGAGCTTTGTTCCTTCTCTTATTGTCTATGACCATGTACATTCGCAAGCATCCGAGGTAAACGATACCAGTGCCTGCAATAGCGGCGGAGACGATGAGAGGGGTGACGTAGTGAGGTGCGAATCTTTGAAGGAAAATGTTGGCCGTCACGATACCACCAGCGTTAGAACCAAAGTTCATGACACTTGATCGGAAGGCTTTCGAGTTTTCTTTGGTGGTGTTATTCTGAGCGAAACTGTATGGTCAAATGACAGCCGGTAAGTGGAGAGATAACATACCTCTGGAAAAGACAAGAAGGTACGAAACTTCCACTGGCGATTAACTGCAAGTTAGCATTGGCTTTGCCTGTGTAGAGAGAAGACATACGAAGGTGCAGAAGTAGCCAGCTTTGTGGTCGGTGGCGGGAAGACAAGCGAGTGTGATAGTACCGATCACGACTAGAGCTGCTTGTTAGCGCGAAAGAGATTTCAAGGACAGGCCGACTCACCATTGGCACACATGACATGGAATGTACGTTCTCGTTGTCTGTCGGAAGACCACACGAATAACCAAAGAACAAAAGTTGCACAGGAGTAAGGACCGACGGTAAGAAGGTTGGTTTTGACGGTGGAGAAACCGAATCGTCCGACGATTTGAGTAAGAAAGGTCGAAGCGGTTTGATTGGCAACACCATAAAACTAGCGCAGGTCAGTACATTGATCATGATGGCATGGGGATAAAATGAACTTACGAGACAATAAAGACCCCAGGCCCAAGTCTCCCATTCCTTGGCCGGTTCAATCCACTCACGCCAAGTGAGTAAAGAGCCGACCTGGTTGGAGGAGTCTCTGAGAAGTCGCATGACACCAGCGGTCTTTTGAGCTGGAGAGAGAAAACGAGCCTTATGAGGGTAGGTGGGTAAGACGGCACTAAAAGATGAGCTTCTCATTTAAGGTCACGGAGGAATAGACACACTATGACATACTGGCGGCAATCAGGGTCAAACCTCCTTCGATCAGGAAGAGCAATTGCCATCCCTTGAGCTTGGAGTGTACCTGGAAAAGACCGTAAGAAAGTAATCCGGAGAAGGCACCTGAACCATGAGCTGTGAAGTCTTGTCACTTCTAATGAGTCCTCACCTGACACGGCCACCTGGACGTTAGCACTTGACATACCTACGAGGGTACCAAAGACGTACCATGCTATACCACGCAGCCATACGTTTTCCAAGCTCGCTTCGAGTGTAGAAACATGCACTGGGGTTGTCAGACGGTTCAGAATGGGTCGCACGGGACTCACAGGTACATGATGAGGGAGGCACCAAAGCAACCTTCGAAGATACCGAGGAGGAGACGAACAGCTAGACATTGTGCAAAGCTGATTTATCAGCCACGAACATATGACTGTAGAGGAGAAATCTGACTGACTTTTTCACCGCGGCGTTGCACATAGCCATTACACCCCATCCGGTCATGTACAGTGGTAACATGATGTGGGCACCATACTTCTTGGTCAAGAACGTTCCTGGGTACGCGCACACGCAAAAGGGAACGTAGAAGACGGTCACTGGAGACATTAGCAAATGCGGATGCGGCCGGAGAGCATTAGACTGACACATGATGTTGTATTGATTACCATGGAAATGCAGGTCGGTGCTAGAACGGGTCAGTTCGGTCCCCCAGTCTAAAAAGATGGCTCACTCCAAGTGGTCTGACTTGGCATTTGAAACGTTTCCTCTGTCCAGACTGAATGTCAGCGAGATTATCATAGAAGAAGGATCCAAGGACGGTGGCAAAAGGGTATCCCTGACGTATTAAGCTAAGGAAAAACAAACTCACGCGCTGAAGAGATACATGAGCATTGCCATCTGAGATTCGTAAGCTAACCGCTCAATTTCTACGGAAGACAAAACACTTACTGGCAAGATACGCAGATCATAGGCACGGAGTACCGAAGCATCGACTTTCTCGTCAAGGATGTACGCCGAGACTACGAAGGATCAGCAATCAACGCTCATCATTCAGCGGAAGAAATGCCTCACCTTCATCCGAAGTGAAACGGTAGTCACCATCAATTCCGGCATAATCCATCGGGATGGTGACATGAACACCGACGTCGGTTTCATATTTGCTTGACGCAGAGTCTTTCAGTTCTTCGGACATGATGAGATCTTGAGAAGTCTACAAAGGTCCAGTTCTGTGGGATTTGGATTCCCTTCTTTAACTCTAGCCCTCAAGTAGTTTTTTCGACCGACTGACAGGTGGAGGACATTATGACGCTTGTCAGACTTTTCAACGGTCGTTTGCGAGGCGATAAGTGCAATCTACCAATTAACGGGTAGACCGAAGATAGAGTAAATCACAAAGACGGCGATCGCGGTTGGGTTCAGGTGGATCTTCCCCCCCATCACATGCGCTCTGGGGCGTCTGCTTTTCCTCTGATCTGACTCATCGTGTGCTTTCTATTCGACGGGCGATAGTCAGAGGCGGAGGGGGGAGTAAAAAGATTACGACTTGGTAGGCGGGGCCTGATTGTTTCGGTGATAGCGATATCGTTCCTGATCAATCGACCGGATGATACCGAGTTGACAGGCGGGGTGTAGGTATCCGTGGATCAACTTAGCATTACCCCACACTCTGGTAGGAGACTTACCTCCGTGTCTTTTGGGTACTGACCATCTCGGGATTAGCGACGTTATGCGTTTTGAGTCTTATTCTGGTTCCTCTACAAAGGCTCGCGATCTGCGTAAATGTGGGAAAACGGACGAACTACTTTTGACTTTGCGATCCCAACATGCCTATTGCCGTGAACACCATCCCTCCCCTACGTCCTTATGTGGCTCCACCAGAGACCAAGGCGGATATTGAGTATTGTAACTTGCGTACTATCGATTTGTCAAAAGTGGAGTCATCCGTAGAGTCTGAAAGAGAAGAAGTTTTCAACGAGTTCAAACGTGCCATATCAGAGGATGGATTTCTCTACTTGGTCAACTTTGGTCTTAGTCAAGAACAGGTGAATGCCCCCCTGGCTTACTCGGATGAAGGCTTATATGACAGATCGATCGTCAATTTGCAATCGCCCAGCATGCACTGATAGATGGTCACATGACAGATGAAGAGAAGAAAGATCTCGAGTGGAAATATCTAAATACCGTGAGTCTCTTCGGTATTCAAGGTAACCTTACTGATCCCCAGGGCAAGTATACAGGTTACAAACCTCGCGGCTATTGGGACATCGCAAAAGGTGTCAAAGATAATGTAGAATCATTCAATTATTATTCTGAAACCATGTGTGATGGTCCTCATCTACCCGCTTGTCTACGTCCATACATTCAGGACATTGTCGATTTCAACGTGGTGAGTGACAATCTACTTCAAGAGAAGATGATTGACCAGTCAAGCACCTTCACGAGTACATCAACAAGCTCTTGTTGAAAATGTTATCAAAGATGCTTGAGCTGCCTGAAGACTTCCTGTGGAACGAGGTTCAATCACATAACGGGCCCATAGGTGAAGGGTATTTTCGACAGATGATGTTCCATCCTACCACCGCCGAGCGTAACAAGGCCGCAGGGAATGTCCAAATGCATGGGCACCAAGGTGAGTTTTCACGACGTCATAAGATTGACGCTAACCTATAGACTATGGCATAACCACTCTTCTCCTCTCGCAACCCATCGCCGCACTCCAAGTCCTAGGAAAAGACGACAAGTGGCGATACGTCAAATACAAACCCGGTGGTATGGTCGTCAACTTGGGCGAAGTGCTAGAGTTCATCTCGGGTGGTCATCTACCTGCCACTCGTCATCGAGGTGTGTAAAATGTTCCACCAAGGTGTACAAACATCTGACTTGCAGTCTCTGGATGTCCTCCTGATCAATCAGAATATTATCGTCTGACAATCGGTCTTTTCTGTGCGGCGAAGAATGATGTTTCTCTTGCGCCCCTCACCCAGTCTCCTCTCTTGCAACGGGAGGGGTACGTCAATCGATTCGAACCGGGTACGGAAGGCGTAGTCGACGCTACAAAGGTATGTCTGCATGTCAGTGATTGAACCGCGTCTGACCAGATCAGATCCCCACCGCTGAGGAATGGCGTGTTGCTCGTGTCCTTCGATCTCAGACACAACCTGAAGATATCGTGGTGACGAATGGAGTTCGTTACAACAGGCAATACTTCAAGGGCATTTACGTGCTTGAGCCGGTATAGTAACTTGTACGACTACTTGTACTCTACCAATGGCCTGGTCATGCAAGGTGTCGCCGTAGATGCCCTTGCGATAAGCTAACTTGTTCAACTCAAATTGCTATCCGTTTGAGACGATTACGGTAAAATCTCAGGACAGACACAAGTCACCGAAGCGGTCACTCCCTTCGGCAAGATGATACAACATGCATAGATTATCGTAACGCCTGATACGATCACATCAACCCACCATCCGAAGGAAAGAATGTTAATCCGACTTGAGGTTCAGCGGGATGTGTTGGTTCTTGTGAGCCCGCCAACAATCTACTGATATACTCTACCGCTTCAGGATCGAGTTCCAAACCCTCCAAGCCCAACAAACCGGTCTCTTGAGCCGCAACTGCCGATGGGTCGAAGAAAGATGACTCGCCAACATGAAGGGGTCTAAGCATGCGAGTGAAGCTCGTCCATACGTCTCGATATATCATGCAATATCGGTCGGGTAAATGATGTCGAATAGTGAGGTTTTCGAGAATTGCCAATCCATCCTCCACGTCTGAATCTGTCAAGAATTCCGGTGTAAGTTTGATAGCATTAGGACATTCTGGTGCCGCCCTATCTCTTGTCAGCGTGATACGGAAAGAGATTAAATGGACGCACCAGGAACAATACATCAGAGTCAAACCACTTATGAAGATCATTTGAAAACCTGCCCAACCTGGCATGATATCGTCCGCACGATCATTTCGTATCGCAGACAAACCCACATGTATGGTCCTTCTAGCTGCACCTAGACAAACGTCTAGTACGTCCGGAGCGGGGTTAGGAAAACTTGGACTAGGTCGATGAAGTAAGACTGTGGCTTGGTGAAAAGCCAATTGAAGGACATCATGTTCTATCGTGTCTGTTTGAACCACCAAGGGTGTGGTTTGAGCCCAGGTGACCAGTCGAGCTTGTATCTGCATCACACGAGCAGAAGTTTCAGCGATGGGTGGGGATGGTCGATCTCTAGGTCGTCTGTGGGATCAGCTACATATTGGCTTTTGACCAGGATGCCACAGCTCACGTCGTGTAGACACATTCCAGGACTTCACCAAGTAGACTGCGTTGTTCTATTAGATGCAAGGAGGGTCGTAGATCGATTTGCCATGCTTCCGCCCGGAGAAATGGTTGTAGTGCTGGAGGGACCATCAAGACTGAGTCTCGAGGAGCATATTGATCGATCGCTGCTGGTCAGTACGAGTACTTATAGGTGTTCAACAAGGAATGACTTGCCTTCTCGACGTATGGAAAGGACTCGACAACAACCACTAGCAATGAGGCGTTCAAGTGAATAGGTGGACCTTGGATATCAGCGTTAGCATCAAATCGGAGAGATAGTCGAGAACTCACCACCATAACTTCCGTCTCGACTCATTTTCAATCTCCTCACTACCACCACGATAACGATGTCGATGAAGACCCAGCTCAATTCCGATACGTGTCGCATGACCGATGATTTGCCAACAATTCACCCCTGGTGTTTCCCATGACCGTAATCCGTACAAACATAAGAGAAGGAGTACTCGGACAGTATCATAAGACCCTTGGGCCAGTATTGCAGTCATGAGACCCAAGGCGGCTCGAAAATACTCGGCCGGTGTATATTGATCTGGGGGAATAGGGCTTGAGAGAGCGAAGATCATGTTGAGAGTGAACCGACCGAAATCATCAGGTTGAGTACCTCGATCATAAACTGAAGATAGGGTTTCCGCTAGGTGGTTAAGATCGAGGAAGGGGTACCATCGATGGATTCGTTGAGTATATCGCGTTATATATTCTACAGCCAGACTACGAGGTGGATAAGGTGCTCGACTAAGGGTCGATCTGACTGGAACATCTTCTACGGTGATGATAGGTTCGTCTTGTTCTTCTAGTCGAAGTGCGGTACATATCAGTCGGGTAAGGGTGACACCGGACATACTCCCGACTAAACAACTTGTCAGCGATTGTGAACGATTTCAGCAGATCGACTCACTATAAGACCCGTTTGCACGCAAGCTAAGCAACCCAACCTCCTCGACCAGAGGTTCTGACGCATACTCCTTGATAGGTTTCGGTTGTAAGATAGTGCCCGTTTTGACTCCTCCTATCCACTCTCCAGCTTCGTAGGTATGAGCCACCAGACCATGTAACCATTCAATCCTTTCTTCAAGCTGTGCGACATGTTGTTGTGTCCATAATACACACTCTTCGATGTTACAATCTTCTAATCCGGTCTTGCTACATGGACCGCAACGTGGTAATGCTCCATCACATTTTATCTTTCGTGCTTGACAACGGTTGCAAGCTTTGGCCAATCTAGCTCCTACTGGAACCTGACTGCTGTCCTGGGGTCTCAGTTTTGTACTCGGTGAAAAAGATGTATGGAAGGCTCACGGACTGAGTGGTCCTCATACGATACTCAGCGGGCATATGCGTGATACTCAAGTCGGAAGCGAAGGAGCATGAGGGCGATGAAAGTGTGTAAAACCAAGAAGAAGACGGTTATATAAGTAGGCCTACATGAATTCCCCGGAATCCCGGTGAGTGAGTTACTTACGGGATAGAAGCAGAATGCGGACGACATCTTTCATGACATTGACTCTGCACTACCCCCCTAACCTCCCACGATTACCAACATGTTAATGACAGGATACTCACCATCAGCAACTAAGTAGCTGTTGGCTGCAGCGCATGTAGTAACTTAGCAAACTCAATATGTTGTACTCAACATCTCTATTCCTGTTCGGCCGGATCCGACTTGGCCACGACAATCACCCATAAACCAAGGCGCCCAGCTGTTCAACAAGGCTGCTGGCGATATGGTCGATCCCCGAGGCGCCTAGTGCAAGGTCTCAGCATAGTGATGGCTCCATCGCAGCTATGAACGCTTAGCTGGGGCGTGCTCAAAACAAGAGAGACACAAGGGTCTTTGGGGAAACGGACGGTTCCGCCCATCAAGTGAAAGGTCGGTCGTGGTATCGTCCCCCATCGTCTGGCTTTCGACATTGCGACTGCTTGGCTTGAATAATGCATCCCAGGTAATCAAACTCACACACTCTCGGATATCGATTCAGCGTCACAATCTATCACCAACCACATCGGCTCTCGATGCTCTGACTAGCCTACCATTACCGTGGTCGACCTGCACATCGCATGCTTGCCATGATTAACTTTCGATCAACAGCTTCCTGATCTCTCCAATGACAAACTCGTTCTTTTCGTGATGAACGGCGTGATTGGCGTCTGGTACAATGTGCAGGATGGAACCTGGGATGAGGGAGTGGATAAGTTTAGATTGACCTATCCGGCACTGGTAAGCACAAATATCTCATCTCACATCTCCCACTCACTCGGAGGGCAAACCCAGTCATTCGCACCAACCACAATCAAAGTCTTCGCCTTGACTTCCCCTAATTTATCACGGAAATCGAAATACTTCTCTTGCTCGGAATAGAGATCATCTACTCGTCAGCTAATGATAGACTTGCCTGACGTAAAACTACCCACTATGCGTTTCCGCCCTGTAGATCGTTCGTCTGTTCTTCTCCAAAGCAACATCCGGATCATAATTCTCATCGACATACAAACGATTGAGTAAGAAGAATATCACACGCATCTCGTTATCGTCGATAAACTGGGTGAAGACCGTGTTGAGCATGCCAACGGAAGCAAGAGGAATAAGGTGCAGGCGTTTCTTCCAATTCTCTATCGCTTCCGCCTCATCTAATCCATCAGTCGGTATCACCAGAAACATCTATCTCATGATCCCACTCACGATGATGCGATGGTGCGGTCCCTCGAAGAACCAGATGCGATACCCAATCCCCATAAGTCGTCACGTATTCCTGGGCAATGAATCCCCCGAAACTACCTCCGATGATTATGACCTTGCCGTCCCCCACGAAGGCCTGACGGAGAGACTGAATATCATCGACCAACTGACGAAACGTAAACGGTTTAGTCAAAGACGACTGTCCATGCCCACGCTGGTCAAACGACAAAACCCTATAACAATCGCCCAAGGAACGATATGCGTTGAAGTCGCTCTCGTGGGTTCCCAGACCTCTACCACCATGAAGAGTGATGATCAATGGGGCTTCCTTCGGACCTACGATACGATACGCCAACGTAGCGCCGTTGATATCGATGAATTGCAAAGGAACGCTCATGATGAAAATATTGAGAGGTTATCGATGTGCTGTGAATGTCCCAGTTGATCAATGCCCCAATTTCAGCCTTACGTCTCAAAGCTACTGACAAGAGTCAAGTGGGCAAACCCGACCGATAATTGCAATCGTTGAACAGGACACAACATGGCATCATGTCATTCGTGCATGTTGCCATGTTGACATATAACTTTCCCCTCTGACACACATATCGCAAGTACGGAGTCAATTCCGCAAGAATAGGGAAGACGAGGTCGAGACCAGAGCGACATTCAGACGAAAGTGTGGTATCAATGCCGCTTCGGCGCTTTCTATCGCTCCTGGTCGATATATGGACCTGACGACTGCCGCACCATGGCGTCTTGGCGGGGAATTCCAGAAGCGTCACTGCTTCTCAAATCGGCGCCATCGATTCCATTCTCTCCTTCTACCCTATTCTACGAGGCCCATAATCTGATCTGCCCAGACAATGTCAACATTGAAGTCTTGCGTGCTTTGTCTATCCTCGAGCGCAAGACTCCCCCTCTTTCTCTGATTGACCTGCCAGTGTCTGCACGTATAAAATGATGCATCTGATTGGCGAGGATCGAGAAGATATTCGACACCTACTGGACTGAAAATTTGACAAGATGTCCGGTCTCGTTCCCGATTCCATGCCAGAGGTCTCTGTTTTCATCGATCCGTATTCTGGAGGGGCCAAACCAGACCTCGAATCCAAATCAAAGAAAGGGCCATGGCAGAAATTTGTGTCTTTCATCTGGGATGCGTAAGTCCTCACATTTCTTCCACCCGCTTGGAGTCTTTCGCTGGCTCGAGTACCAACATGATTTGCCAAAGTACAATAGCTGACAGTCAAGCGATTTCTACGATAAATCGGATGCCGAGCGTCGTCTTGTCTTCAAGCTCGACTGTTTTTTGCTCCCCGCCCTGACCTTGGGTTGGTGGGTGAAGAATCTCGACCAGAGTAACGTGGGTTTGCTCGTCCCTCCTCAGACGCCTTTGCTAATGGTCTACAGCTGTCTCGCGCTTATGTTTCCGGTATGAAAGAGGATCTCAACATTCTCGGCAACGAATATACTTACATGACGACCATCTACGCCGCCGTCCTAGCCGGCATGCAACTGCCGAGTAATTTTATCGTCATGAAGGTCCGCCCTGCACTATTTCTAGGTCTTGCGGAAATCGGTTGGACAATCTTCACTTTCGCTCAGGCAGGCGCTAGGTCTTATCAAGCCATGTGAGGTTTTGTTCGTAGGGATAACATCAAGCTGACGGATCAGGTACGGTTTTCGATTTTGTATCGCCTTTTTTGAGTCTGCCTACTACCCAGTGGCATACTTTCTACTCGGTCAGCTCCTCATACTCTCTCACGCATAGTCACCGACCGCAAAGATTGGTACACTCGTCCTAAGCTCGCCAAACGTGTCGCCCTGTGGTACATTGCCCAGTCTGCTGGGAGCGCCCTTTCTGGTTTCCTTCAAGCGGGTATCTATGAAAGTATGGACGGTTTGTCGGGTTTGGCTGGCTGGAGATGGCTTTATGTCATCTGCGGTGTCATCGTGAGTCTATCCAGGTTGAAAGTGATCCATCTGATTGTCATTAGAGTCTCCCCATAGGAATATTGATCCTGACCTTTGTCCCAGATTTCCCTGATACCACCCGCTCTTGGTATCTGTCGACGGAGGAACGGGAGTTAGCCAAGCGCCGCTGTGCTCGAAACGGCGAGTAATCCTCCCTTTCACTCACTCCATTTGCTCTTACCTTGTAGGAACGGACGCCGTCACTGGGAAGATTGACAAGGCATCAATTATCGCAACGATTAAGACTTGGAAATTTTGGTTGTTGGTTCCTTGGTTCACCGTCTACGCATTGTCTGGTGAGTACATATTATGCCAAGTCTTTCAAGTGACCATCATCGCTGACTCTGACAGGTCTCCCGAAGGGTCAAAGCGGTGTCTACCTCAAAGCCTTCAATTATAGCGTCAAGTCTCGAAACATCATCTCTGCCTTTGTTTCCTTGATCGAACTTCCATCTCTTGCCCTGTACGCCTACATCTCGGACCGCACCGTTTGACATGGCCGTGGCTGGTGGATTCTTGTCATTCAGCTCTGGCGTCTATTCCCCGACGCAGTTCTTGCCTTTTGGGGTACGAGCAATCACTTGCGTGTCTCTGCGTTCTTGATCAGCGGTACAACCGATGTAACTCCTCTTTTCTTCGCTTGGGTATCCGACATTTGCAGAGGTAACACAGTTCAACGAGCCTTCATCGTTGGTTCCATCACCGCCTTTTGGTACGCGTGAGTCGGTCATATTATCTTTCGAACGTGAAGAAGCTAATCTATCAGGACTGATGCCTGGATTGAACCTATCATCTACCGCCAGACTGATTCTCCTCGCTTCAAGATCGGTTTCCAGACGTCTTTTTACCTCAACATCGTTTCGGTAGTGATGCTCGTCGCCATGTCGATCCTTCAACTACGAGACACCCGTGCGGAGCGTCGCAGGGAGTTGGAAAAGCAACGCGAGGTCGCTTCGGATCTCGTAGAGGAAGAGTCTGAAGCCAAGGTGTAGTGAACGCAATTAGTGTTTTGACATTGTCCGATTCAACTTGAACGTCACTTGGGCGACTATGAGAGATATGCAATACTTTTTTCTTCCCCTGTGCAGCTACTCGACCACCTAAGCATTGGAAGACTTGACGCAAGAGGTGATGAACACGGTTAAAAGGGCCATGGCATCATCTCCCGTGCGTTTGATTTCCTCTAGAAAACGGAGAGATCCGATCGGTTCAGAAATGGAAACAACACCCTGAATGCCAAGCCAACCGTCGTCGTCGTCTTGTTGCTATGTCGCCATCACCGCCTCAAGTGTGCTCATTCTTCTTCACAAGACTCCATGATCAATTGACACCCACGTAGAAGACAACTACCCCGAAGAAGTCGGCTCGCCATGCCCGGTTGTTCTCTCAATGTCCACTCCGTGGAAACCCCGCTTCCCTCGAAGGGCGACGGAAGTCAATCACTTCTTATGAGACCGCTCATGCCGCTGATTGACCAAGCCATCGTCTTAACCCGATACTCGGTCCTGCTCCTTTTATAGGTCAAATCAGGGATCTCGACTTGACCAAGCTCTGCTACCATGTCGTCTCCATCTCAACCTCTGTACCCACGATACCTACCCACCCGCAAAGAGGGCTACACACCCACCGTCAATATCCCGTACTTCGAAGCGGACGAGCGTGGTCTGCACGCTGATCCGGATCTTCCTGCTTTGGTCAATGAGAACACCAAGATGACACTTGTGACCCCTCGAGTGGGTACCGAGATCTCGGGTGTGCAGCTTTCTCAACTTAGTCCGGCTGGTTTGGATCAGGTGGCTCTCCTAGCCGCTCAGCGAGGTGTGGTCGCTTTCGTGAGTCTTCATCCCGTTTTCAAGTCAACGACTAATGTGATAGAGAGACCAAGACTTTGCCGACATTGGGACTGATAGACAACGAGAAATTGTGAGATACTTTGGTCCCCTACACTTGGTAAGTCCGTTATCGTAATAAGGGCACTATTGGCTGACTATGACATAGCATCCTACTATGGGCTATCCGGAGGGCACCGGACCCGAATTTCACGTCATTTATGCTGATGAAGAGCAGTGAGTTCCCGCTTTTCTCACCTGAGTGATCCTTACGATTCTAGTGGTTCTCTTCGAGATCTCCTTGGCCCGCATACCAGCTACGATCTCTGGCACGTCGATCAAACTTTCACCCCCAACACTCCCGGTACCACTTTCTTTTGGGTTCTCGAGTCTCCAGTGTCAGGCGGAGGAGATACTGCTTTCACCAACCTAGCGGCTGCGTACGAGGCTCTCTCTCCGGCTTACCGCTCCACCTTGCATGACCTAGAACTGCATCATACGTCGGCCTCGGTGGGAGAGATTGGTCGAGTCGGTCAAGAACGAGCCCTGAAAGAAGCCGTCAACACCACCCACCCGCTCGTCATCGAACACCCTGTGACAAAGAACCCGGTGTTGTTCATCAATCCCACCATCGCCAGGTCCGTCGTTGGTTTCAAGCCAGAGGAGAGTGCGCATCTTCTCGACTTTCTCCACAACCACATAAAAAGTCTTGACTTTTCCTGCCGATTGAGATGGGAACCGGGTACTGTGGTCGTTTGGGATCAGGCGAGTAATCTTTTCACAATAGTACTATGACTCACTGACTATTTCTAGCGTACGGTTGCACATTCAGCCGTACCGGACTTTGCAGATGGTTCTAGACGACATATGGTCCGTATGATTCCGTACGGGTCCAAGCCTAAGGCGGTTACGGTACCGAACTAGGTCCTCTATGCATGGCGTGACAGGTACATCACAGAGGTGAGGTCATTTGACTCAGCGGATTTGCTACTGCTTGATTCATGTCTACTCATGCATGCGATGCTACCCCTCCCCTACTCACACTTCGCAGTCACGCGCTCGATGTAAGAACCCTTCGATCCTCTCTGGCCATCAAGGGAAAGAGTGAGGGCGCCGTACATGCGTGCGATCCAGGGGGATAAATAGCTACAAACCTGTGTGCCTCGAGGCCCTGTTTGTAAGACGCGGCGCACGATGAGTAACCCGTGGTCAGTACCGATAACTCAACAACTCGCTGTCTACAATGTAGAGAGGCAAAAGGAAAAGAAGAATATACGTATCATAGAAAACTACTCCTTATATCCACAACTGAGTCCTCCAGAGGAATCAGGGGTAAGGGGTAAGTGTCAGAGGAACAATACGGTACGGCTATCAGGCTACAACCTCCCCTCCCCTCGAAAAAGCGACGACCTCGGCGCTGTTGGATCCACTGGTCTCAAGTTCCGTGCGTGTCAAATGTCATGTCCTATCTTATCTTATCTTATCCTATCCTATCCTATCCTATCCTATCCTATCCTATCCTATCCTATCCTATCCTATCCTATCCTATCCTATCCTATCCTATCCTATCCTATCCTATCCTATCCTATCTTATCCTATATTCATCGATGAGATCCCCAGGATCTATCGTGTCCTAAATCCGTCGATAAGATCCCCAGGATCTATCGTATCGTGAACTATCGTGATCACTTGTGATCTGCAGGATCGTAAATCGTAAGTCATTTGAAAGCGGAAAGGTTGGACGATTTATCGGGAAGGGTGGTTTATCAAGAGAGTGGTTTATCAAGAGGGTGGTTCATCAAGAGGGTGGTTTATCGGGGGTGGTTTATCGAGGGTGGTTTATCGAGGGTGGTTTATCGAGGGTGGTTTATCGAGGGTGGTTTATCGAGGGTGGTTTATCGAGGGTGGTTTATCGAGAGGGTGGTTTATCGATAGGGTATAATGGAATGGGAATTATCGTAGCTTCTCCCAAGATCCCCAGGATGTATTGTGTTTCCAATCGTGAGATCACCAGGATCTATGGTATCCTTCATATATTCCCTCATTGACCGTAGCAGTAGTTGTGGGAGATGACACATCTGAATCCGTACTCATCGATGTAGGTGTAGGTGTACCCAACAGGGGGAAGTCTTGGGGAATGTGGTTCTCTGTCCATTAAGGCATCATCATCCAACACAGGTACTATCATAGGGATTGTGAGGATAGGTTCTCCAACTCTTGGTTCTTCAATCTCTGGGAGCCAAGGTCTTTTCATAGTCATTGTTTGAGTGATCGGTGGAAGTGGACTTGTTGGAGCCGACATTTAACTCGGAAAACGTGGGATATCCAACAGGGGTATGAGCGTGTTGTTTGCAGGGATGTTGTCTTTCAAGAGCGGTGAAGTAGAGAAAAAGCTCATATGGGGGAGACTTCCGAGTATGGTTTCTCTGATAGGTGGTATGGAAACCTTTAGGTTGTGGGAGTTGATATCTTCTAAAGTGTGGTACCCACAGAATTGTTTATGAGAGGGGTATTGGAACTTCTTAGCGGTTGCAGTGGAACAATCGGAAGAAATGGAGGTACGATAGCTGGGGGACTGCGACTTTTTCAAGGTGACGGAGTGAGATCTTTCCGAGTTGGGTGGAGAGTAAGGGGTGTAGCAATGGTACTTAGTGGTGTTGATGTGACAATCAGCGGGCATTGTGATCGATAGTTGTAATATGTGAGAGAAAAGTGAGAATGAATTGAAGAGTGGGTGGGGGAAGTTGTCTCAGACTCCATCTTTTGGGCTACTGTCACAATCATTGTTTCTTCTTCTCTACTGACCGATGGTCAACAAACCTCGGCTAACTACGTTGTCGTGGGGTGTCGATGTCTCACTGAGACAGGGTACTCAACGGGGAATTGCGGCTAACTACGCCGTGGTGGTACGTCGAGTGGTAAACGACAAGGTGATCGTCAATGAACTACGGCTAACTTTGCCGTGGTGTGTCGACCTGCTGAGTGGTAACTCTCCTTAACTCGAAGGTGGTAGCTACTGAATATATGTAAGGTGACCGACCGGAGACGTGACACTCCGGAGCGTCATGGCCACAATCATGACGCACGGAAGAGATGACACTCCGGAGTGTCATGTCTCGGGTCGGTGACCTTCCGTAGTGTCAGTTGCTTGTACCTTCGAGTTTAGGAGAGATGTGACTCAGCAGGGCGTCTTGGGTAGGAGTTGTGACCCGTCAGTTATATAATCCCATGTAAGAGTCCCCG